TTAAGGCGCCAAAAGACAATTTATTTTTTATATACGCGCGAGACCCTTGATATTACACGACTTCAGCCACAACCATAATACTCCGAATGTGATCTTTCCCGATATGTAAGAGTTGCAGTTCCTTCTACAGTAGATACAGATTTTTCCTTCCCAATCGCTAGCTATACGTATCGTTTATTATTATTATAATAATTTTTTTTGAACATTCGCTTTATAGGTGGTAGATTTTTTAAAATAAACAATTTTCGAAACTGCGTCTCTTTTTTAAAAATTTTATTTCATTTTTTTTCTCTCTCGTATTAACCGGCCTTTTTTTTAGGGAGAAGCGCCGAGCATGGGAAGCGGCGCGACTTCAAGTGCCGGTTCTGCGACAAGAGCTACTACTACAAGCAGAACCTGGACCGGCACAAGAAATACTATTGCCAGAGCTACCGACAGTCGCGCTAAAAACGCTTTGGGGCTTTGGGTTAAACCGTGTGGCTGTGTTTGTGTCCAACTAATCCCACGCCCATACCACTAATTATATGTCTGACGGTGCTAGGGGTGCGATTAAGTTTCGGGTTTGCATGTTTCAGGGCGTCCAAGGTCGCGAGTAAGACGCAACGTGTGCCGCAGTTGCGGCAAAATGTACGTCCACCAAAATAGCCTGTGGCGGCACACCAAGTACGAGTGCAACAAGGAAAAGTCGTTCCTCTGTACGTTCTGTCCCGCCGCGTTCTACCAAAAGACCCACCTTCAGAGACACGTAATGGTTAAACACCTGAAGATTTGTTTTTAGCCTCTCCCAACCCGAAATAATATATGTTTGTTAGTTACGTTGCCGTTTGATTGCTCTCCTTCTAGTCTAACCGCCACCAATTTCTAAAGCCGAAGGATTTTAGGCGGAACCACGTACTGGCCCATCACCGCTGACCCCACCGTCCCCGTATCGATCTAGCTGACTAGTTGTATTATTCCGTAGGCCATATTGGAGTAATTTAGATGTAGCATGTAGAGTAGCGTTTTGGGGGCGACCGCTCGACCAACTTTCTCCGTCTCAGCACCGGAAATACATTTTGCAGGTCTCTTGGGTCTTTTCTTTTCCGACGACAAGGAAAACCGCGGCGCAAAGGCGCCGAGGAAACGGAAAATGAAGCTCGATGCGCAACAGGTCGAGGTATTTATGTGCAACAAGTGCACGAAATCCTACCGACTGCGCCACTCCCTGACGCGCCATGTCAAGTTCGAGTGCGGACAGGAGCCGAAGTATCACTGCGACCTGTGCCCGAGGAAGTTCAAGCACAAGTACGACCTGAGCGTTCACTTGAAAGGCAAACACTCGGTGCTGAAGGAAGCCAACGCCAAGGTCAAACCGGATTCGGGTTTCCTGGTGAACAATCTCTAAGCGGTGTAGTTATGATTTTTTTTCGTCGCTTTTATTTATTTTTCCGCTTTTTTTAGGTTTAGTTTCACAAGTGCCTATTTTTTACACACCAAAGTTCAAGACTAGTGCCAAATCGTTAGGGTTAATTTCGAAGCTTGGTATTCGACGTTTAAGTTACCACAGTAGTATTGTTAGTCCTATTTCTAACCTTAGGGGTGTGTCTAGTTTTAAGTTTGATTTGTATTTTCGACAAAATAAAATTTGTACCTCTAGGATCGGTTTATTTATAAACGCTTTGCTAACGGACACTGCTAGTAGTTGTAATGTAACCAGCGACCATTTCAAGACAAAAGTCTCGTAGATGAACGGTTTGACAACCGAAACGACTATTTAGCGACAGTCGAGCGGCTGACCAAGCTTTCACCTCCGAAAATGTGAGGTCGGGATTGCTATTTGACTGCAGACAAACATTGTCATGACCGGCGGAATGGAAGTCTATCAGTGTCGTTTGGTTACCTGCTCATCTGAGTCCCGAGGGCAACGAAATGGCTAGGGATGCTGCGGTAACGCCCTATCTTGGACGGGCGCTTTCCGTCGGAATAGCTGAAAGTGTGCTGAACAGCGAGCTGAATAATTGGTTCCTGAGGCAGTTCTCCATGGAATGGTAGAGTTTACCGGGGCTGAGGCAGTCGAGGGTTCTAATTGGAGGACCCTCTACGCTTGTTCGCTCAGCTTCAGCCGCGATTATGAATGCTGGTAGGAATCCTCACATATGTAGGTTGTATTTGGAAGCGGAGGAAACTCCCGGTCATTACTATGATTCTGCGAGAGTGCAGAGCTCTTTTAAGGGAGGGAGTGAATGGTCATTCGACCAGTGACGCGCCGCAGATAGGAAACAACTATTTCATTTTGAGCTGGGAAAGCTGCCTGTTTGTTTTTTTCTTGTATCTTGTGGCCCTTTCTATTTTCAAGCATACGACGACATCGTGAGTAGTCCACAAACGTGTCAGAATTGTCGAAAAGTCTACAAAAATTTTGAGCGCTTAATAAACGTTTTGTGCTCTCGCTACTTCGATTTCAATGAGACCCAATCTCGTCGACCTTCACCATCTAAGCCGCTATATTTGTAGGAAAAGTCACAAAAAAGGGCGTCAAACTGTCCAAGCCGCCCAAGACGGTCGGCAGCAAGTTCGCGTGCCAGTGCGGTAAGACATTCAAGAGGAAGCAGTCCCTAAACAGCCACACGAATTTCGTCTGCGGCAAGATCAAGCAACATTATTGCGGTCCGTGCAGGAAATACTTCTGGGCGAAGCAACAGCTGGTCGAACATCAGCGCACGTGTCGTAAAACGGCCGCGCAAGCGTTAGACATGCGTTGATTTTTCCCGCCCGTTTGTATATAATGTAAATAACGCTCGCGCTACCGGGTAGTTTCAGTTTCAAATTTGGTATGAACTCTGTGGTGGGTTTTAGGGGTGTCGTTCTCTGACCGTCAGTCCTTCGCCTGCGAAATATGCGACTCGAAGTTTTACGACAGGCCGTCGTTCGTCAAGCACATGGAGTACCACATCTTTATCCGGATTTACTCCAAGCTTAAAAATGTCGCCAACACCTGATACTATTCCGTTAATAAATATTTTATCTCGGACCGCTTTTCATTGCCTCTCATCTAGTGTTTCGCATTTTAGCTCACGCCTGTCAGAAGTGCGGCAGGCGCTACAAGCACGCGAAGTCCATGAAGCTCCACCAAAGGGTGCAGTGCGGCAAGCGCAAGGCAATCTTCTGTCACCTCTACGGTAGCGCGTTCTACTTCAAGCAGGGCCTTGGGAAACACCTCGCGTCCGAGGTGTGCGCGAAACGATCGCGACTCTTAACCCAATAAAGCGTTTTAATTTTATTCCCCAGCACCCCGTAGCGAATATTACTAACCGGTGAAGGCGGCGCGAGGGTGTGGCTTCGTTCTAACCATCGGTTGTGTTTCAGTTTTGGACGATCTCGAGGATTACGTCGAGCATAACGGTACCTACAGCTGCGTGCGCTGCTACAAGCAGTACAAGTTCAAGGGCAATATACGCAGGCACTTGAAGTACGAGTGCGGCAAGACCGCGTCTTTTAGTTGCCCGTACTGCAACTTCAAGTGCAAGAGGTTCGATTACCTGCGGTTTCACATGAACTCGAAGAAGCACGCTGACGCGCGCGTCCAAACTATAGTACTGTGAACCCGGTGCCTTCAACATAATCCATTCACATTCCTTAGTGCGTAGTACCGGCGTTCTGCCGTTTTGAGTTTACTATATATTCTCTACACGTTATGTAATTTTTAGGAACATGTCTTTCCTATCGGTGGTTGATCTGATGGTATTTTTGATAAGGTTCATATTACGACGTTCCGTCCCGGATTCTTAGCGCGTAGGTTATTTTTTATACATGGGGGTGGTATTTTTTTACTTTTAGGGGCTTGTAAGTTACAGACATATATATATTTTTTATAATAAACGCTTTTTTTGAAATCAAATTGCGCGATGACGTTTCAATTGGTGGACCTCCGCGGTCGTCGATGTCGCCTTTGGCGGAGTGCTACGTTTAGTGCTAGGTTTTTGCTTGATTCGAATATCCCAAGGAGTGTTGGTGTGGTTTTTTACTTCTACACATTTTTTTTAGTGGTGGCCCGACATTCATTTCTGCCGACAACTATTTGTACAGAAATAAACCACTGACGAGTTCTGTGTAGATTTTTTTGCACCTCCCGCGTCACTCCATCTCCCCGGGGACTTTGACGATATTCACCCAGCCATTTTCGTTGTAGCTTCGTTGAAGAAGACTTGTCCTCGGTGCCGAAAGTTTTTCAAGTACGACAACAACCTGGTGCGTCACATGAGATTTAACTGCGGCATCGGACCGAGATTCGCCTGCCTCATCTGCCAGAGGAACTACACGCAAAAGGACAGCCTGAAGAGGCACGTGCTGGCCAAACACCAGCCCCTAGTTCATTTCAGTCCGGGTTTTTGATTTGTCATTGTATTTGTTACGCTTTAACGGATAATCGCGTCTCTGACTAACACTCGTTTCAGATACGCCGTCGCTGTTCACTTGCACCAGGTGCCGCAAGGTGTACCAGTACCTAAGCAGCCTCAGGAGACACCAGCGGGTCGAGTGCGGCAAAGACAAGAACTGTCGTTGTCCGTACTGCCCGCACAGGTTCTTTTACAAGCAGGAGCTCAAATCTCACGTTTTCAATAAGCACAAAGATCGTTTAGTTTAACGCTAAATTGACATCGTTTTAGCCGAATGCCCGAACTGTCGTCGTCTCTACAGGTACAGACGTAACATGCAGCGTCACGTGAGGATCGAATGCGGCAAAGAAAGGAGCCTGGTGTGTCTGGTATGCGGAAAGGCTTTCTACTACAAGCAAGAACTCAAGATGCACTTGCGTTCGAAGCATCCCGACACGTTCCGGGATGTAATTCCCGGTAGCCTAATGTAACAGTACTTTAATAAAATAGTGAACCCTCTGACGCGTTGTTTGATTTACTGGAACCACAAGCGTTATTTGGGTGTCCGCTTTTTTTGTGGTCGGTGTGTCTCTCGGTTATTTTGCCTTCGTAGAGAATGTTTTATTAACTTTGACTTAATTTTAGGCCAGACCGTGCAAAAAGAGCCGAAAACGTGCTTAAACAAGCTCGGCGTTAACTTCCGTTTCGAACCGGGCGACGACATCGAGATGGACGTGGCAGAACTCGCCGATCTGGCGGACATGTCCAATTTTCTGTCGGTGCCGGACGACAGTATCTCGTGCGACATTTGTGGTACCCTCTTCCGGCATATTTCTTCGCTCAGATACCATAGGAAGCACAAGGTGTGCCTGAAACCCAAAAGGGGTGAGCATCATCCGTCCGCGCGTGCGCCATACCAAATGATAATCGCTGTTTGCATGTTATAGAGGAGCTGGAACCCAAAGTGCTGCAGTGTCACATCTGCGAGAAGATATTCAACACCATTTCCGGATTAAACTACCACATGAGAAGGAAGGTTTGCGAACAGCAAGACGAAGAGAAAGGTAGTGTCCGGTGCATTAAATTCATTTATAGAGTGTCGAATTTTAGAGGAGGAAATCATCCAGTGCGAAATGTGCAACACCGTTTTTAAGCACATGACATCGTTGAGGTACCACTTGACCCACAAAGTGTGTCTTAAACCTAAAAAGGGTACTGTCGGTCTGTTCGTTGTTCGAAACCCCTTAAAACAATTTCATTGTAGAGGAGATGGAACCCAAGCCTCTTCAGTGCGAGAGCTGCGAGAAAATATTCTCCACCACCACCGCCTTGAACTATCACCTAAAAAATAGAGTGTGCGAACCCAAAGAACCCAAGGAACCAAAAGGTAAGTATTTTTGCAACTCCGACTCTAAATAGTGACCGTTGCCGTTGCGCAGAACCCGCAGAGATCCTCTGTAAATTGTGCGGCACCTTATTCAAACACCTGACGTCGTTAAGGTACCATCTCAAGCACAAGGTCTGCCTAAAACCAAAGAAAGGTACGACGTTCTTTCGCTTTGGATGTGGGCGATAACTTTTTGATTGTAGAAGAGATCGAGCCGAAGCTGCTTCAGTGCGAGGTGTGTCAGAAAGTATTCACGAGCAATTCATCGCTAGAGTATCACGTAAAGAGGAGAGTCTGCGAGCAACAGAGAGTCATACTGAGCCCCCCCTTTACTTGCGATTATTGTGGCACCTCGTTCGAGTTAAGGCAGACCTGGTACGCTCACATCAAGCGACAGGTGTGCAAAAAGTACCCAGAAAGGTACATCCAAAAGACTTTGGAGAGTACCGTCAAGATCGAGGTCGAGGAGCCATTCGGTAATTAGGTCGGTGCCATATTTTAACCCCCTTTTAGCGTTTTTTATGTAGCTAGAATAGACTTCGTTGAATTATATCTTCTTAACTGTAATTTGGTGTTACTGTATATTTTCTGAGCGTGGTGCTGATTAATGGTCGGGGTGCAAGGTGTGCAACGCTGTATGGTGCATTTCACTTGGTTATTAATAGTTTTATAGACACATATATTATTATTATTATTATTATATAGAAAATAAAGTTTGTTGTAGATTATCGGGTCTTTTATTGGTCTGGCTGGAATCGGGGACTTTTGTCGCCCTCGCATTCTATATGTGCGTTATTTTAGGACCAGCCTGCGAGGTTCTCTCTTGTTAGGGGGCACTAGCTGGCTGCAATTTCGGTGCCACTTATGAAGGTACGTGGGCCGCAGGAGCTTCAGCCTGAAAAGTAACTTGAAAAACGTTCCCAAGCTGAGCTTCATAGTCAAGAACGGACTCTACATGAACGCCGAGTGGTGGTGACCTGACCGGTTGTTTGAAAATGTTCTTCGCCTACGGGTTACCCGTGGATGGTCCTGATATTATAAGTTAGATCATTTTTGTTTGCGTAGAACATGTGTGATAGGTAGGTCACTCTCGTCGGCAGTAGGTTCCGTTTTGTGATCGGTTTTGTTTTTAGTCTGCTAGCGTTGAGGTAATGTGTACAAAACATAGGCATTTGCTGTGGAGACACTTGTATTATGAAAGTGCCAAAGAGCTCACCTTCGGGTGCATCTACTGCTACTATGGCGCCAAGTCCACTGCAACGACTATGAGAACTTGTCCACCTTTACAAGCTTATATATAATGACGAAAAAAAAAACGTTCCTCAATAAACCTCCCGTCCTCACACTCGGTCTCCTCTGCGGTGGTAGCTACTAACACCTCGAGTCATTCGGCGTGCGCAGTTTAATACCGCGACGGTGTGTTTTAGCCTGGCAGCGTTTTTACCCTTGCCTGCAGTGCTCGAAACTCTACCGGTACAAGCAATCCCTGCAGCGCCATTTGCGCTACGAGTGCAACAAAATCCCCGGCTTCAAGTGTCCGTATTGCGAGTACGCCTGCAAACAGAAGTACACTCTTATAGGTCATGTCAGGGTGAACCACGTCGAGAGTTTTCGCGACTTCGTCTGCTACGTGTACCGGACCCTGTCGACTTAGGTCTCTCAATAAAGTCTATTTTTTACGAAACTTTGGTCGTGTTTTATTCTGACGCTCGCCCGCCCGACCTGTACATACCGTCAAAAGTGTAAATACTCGAAACGGTCGTTTTCCTTACCTCCCCGTGAACCCACCACGACGTCACCGATGTGTTCAGTTTTTAGGCACATGCAATTCGCCCAGGACCGTAACGGCAGGTTTATGTGTCCCAACTGTAACTCCTCCTACAAGCAGAAAGGCCACTTGGTCAGGCATATCAAGTACGAGTGCGGGGTGGAGCCGAAATTCCAGTGCCAGGTCTGTTACAGGAGGTTCAAGCACAAGAGCAACCTCAAAGCGCACTACATCTTCCTCCATAAGACAGTGTAGCGGTCAAACGCTCGATATAACGCCGGTGCCTTAACTTCGATGCAATATTATTAACGTTTAAATGTTTTTTTACTAATATTATATTGATACAAAATTCGTATACAATTGTTTTGCAATAAAAAATATATTTACCGCCGCCTTCGGTTCTTCCGTCGACCACGCCCGCCCGCGTTCGACGCCCGATTACATCGCCGCTTGTTTCAGGGCGTAGTTTCAACTGCATCAAGTGCGGCAAGACGTACACGCTGTATGGGATGTTGCAGAAGCACCGGATGATCTCGATATGTGGGCCCGTTCGAAAAGTGAAGTGCTTCTCCTCCTACACCATCGAACCGTTGGGACCGCTGCGTACCCGATTTATTACCTACGAGTTCCTTTGACCGACTTACTCGTAAATTCAACTCGTTCGTTTTTAGCCTCCGGATCGTACGGGTGTGTAGCGTGCGGAAAATTCTACAAACACTGCAGTGGTCTCACCAGACACGTAAAGGAATGCGGGCGGGAAAAATCTCTCAAGTGCGCGTTCTGCTCGCACAGAACGCACCGGCGCGACAGTCTGAAGTCGCACATGTTGATGAAACACAACGCGTCCCTGTAATCGGCTATGCAAGAACTTTAAGACGTAATAAATATTAAGTTTGCCGCGTTGCTGTTGTTTTATTGCACTGCCGTGGGCGTGGCCGGAATTACATGCTAGGAGGCGGTGCACGATGCTGTAGAGAGCTCCTGGATGAGGTCTTGTAGATAATACCGGGAAAGTAACGCCATCTGGTGACGGCTCTTTAACATCGCGCTTCTTCGCGAGTCTAGTATTAACCGGGCGTGTTTCTAGATGTGTTGTTCATCAGGCGGCTGAATCAGCCGTCGTTGTCTTGTCCCAAGTGCGGCAACACCTTTACGCGATTGGACAACCTGAGGAGACACGTCAAATTCATCTGCGGCGTCAAACCCCAGTTCAAGTGTAGCTATTGCCCGTACGCGTCGAAGCACAAGTATGTGTTGGCATTGCACATCAAGAGCAGGCACGGGGACTACCTGAAATCCGAGCGCTATTGACGACCGATCACTTAATTCCTTATCATTTGTTTTTTATTTCAGTATTTTACGTTTTTGATAACTTTGCGTATGTTATATATTTTTTTAACAAGCCGATGGGTTTACTTAGACATTAGGTAAATTTGGTACGTTCTTTTATAAATAAAAATCGACTCACACCAGATCACCTTTCATTGCGACCCGCACGTCACATATGGCTCGGTTTTTAGACCTGCGATACCCTTGCTGGACGTGCTTCAAGACCTACAAGTACAAGTGCAATCTACTTCGACATGCGCGGTACGAATGCGGCGTCGCGCCCCAATTTCCGTGCAGGTTGTGCCGCAAGGCGTTCACCCAGAAGAGTAGCCTTAAGTCCCACATGACCTACACGCATGGTCACTCCAAATAATTCCGCCACGGCTTAGAGTAGTTGCGGCGACAACCGCGACGATCCCCTCTCTGACAAATTGTATTTTTAGGTAACGCGATCGGCATCGGTCCTGTATTCCAAGGTGCTGACGGGTTCTTCCGATGCCTGAACTGCAGCAAGAGGTATACCTACAGGAGTAGCGCGATGCGGCACGTCAAGTACGAGTGCGGCAAAGCGCCCCAGTTCAAGTGTCCGTATTGTTCCAAGTGCTTCACGCAAAAGAGCAGCCTCAAATCTCACATCATCGCGCTGCACTTGCCCGAAGGACCTGCAATCATGAACTCGCCCATAGAAATCCTCAAAATGTAACCGCGACTCCGCTAGGGATACAATCTCAGGTACCACTTTTACGGATGTCTGCAATCTGCAACATCTTCGTTTAGGTGCGCCAGGAATTAGAATAATTTAGGGTTTTTAATTAGGTACTATTAATCAGCGCCAGTTATTTGATTTTATTTACCATTCAGCACCTTACTGATGTCATTTATCATCGCATATTTATAGTTGATTTTTGTTGTATCGATCTAGAATTAAGCCGACGGAACAAGGTCTGGAAATCAGGGTTGTCAGACCGTTAAAGCTTCGCCGTTGTAGTAACGAATAAATTTTTTTAGCGCAGCACTTTTGTTTTAGTTTACACGGGCTTTGTAAATACACTGTGCTCTGTCTCTGGTGAGGTGCTTCCTTCGCCACCACTTAGAGTTACTCTCGTTACCTTGTGGCCTGGTTTCAGATTTTTACTACGCGGACGGTTTCTTTTGGTGCAAGGTGTGCTTCAAAAAGTACAAGCACAGAAGGAACCTGCTGCGACATTCCAAGTACGAGTGCCAGGTACCGCCCCAGTTCAAATGCGAGTTTTGTAATAAGCGGTTCACGCAGAAAGGCACGCTGAAGTCGCACCTGGCGAAGCACTGGAAACACGCAAATTTAACTACGTTCGCCTTCTAAATGGTCGCCACATTCCGTTAACAGTTAACCGTCGCGGGTCTAATGTTAGTAACTTGGCGTTTAATCGTTAAATTGTTGCCACGCCAAAGTCTATAGTCTATACGTTGTTACTAGTGAAATATTTTTGTAAGTTTATACACGGCTGTTGGATTTATTAATAAATTTTATACGGGGACCTGGCTATTATATTTCGAACGCGATGGTACTACTCTTTCGGCTTGTATCCGCACGTGACGCACAATATTTGTAGGTTTCGAGAAGTTCCGCGACCGATATCGTTGCCTAGCCTGCAAAAAGGTCTACAAACACCAAACGTCGCTGAAGAAACACATGAAGTACGAGTGTAACAAGACCGGACAGTTCCAATGCGCGATCTGCTCGAGATGCTTCACGCAGAAAAAGAGCCTGCAGTATCACCTGCTGGCCATCCACAAGAGTTTTTAATCTACACGTCTTATTGGGTTTCGGTGGTTATAACGGTTATATAATAAACACATAACGAGTAAATGTTCTCCTCCTCTCCGACCCGGCGGTGGTGGTACTACCCGGAGTCAGCACTACACTAACCGTCGCTTTTTAGGTTTCGTTCTCTACGGGGGAGTCTTTATTTGCGCCGTGTGCAACAAGCAGTTCGCTTATAAGCGTAACTTGAGACACCACCAGAGGTACAAATGCAATAAACCACCACAGTTCCCGTGCCTCTATTGCCCGAAGAGGTTCACCTCAAATTTTTATTTGAAGATCCACGTCGGCCAGAAGCATCACATCTAGTCACTCTAACGGACCCCGACACCGCGTGCCTTACTCTGTCAACGACCGTAAACGATAACTTTAACCGGGAGTTCTTGTTTTATTCGACCCAGTTCGTTGTCAGGTGATTCCGTAACTGGCATTTTTCCCTTTTAAATTAATCCTGAACGCCATTGTTACGTTTATTGGACGGCCTCCTCGCCGGTCTGACTTAAATCCCTTACGCTTTTGTTACGTGTCCCGCGCAAAACGGCCGGGAATAATCGGATGTTATAATTCCGGACCTGTTTTTAGCAAGATCCGTTGCCGTCGGTGACGAAAAAAAATTCAAATGCATGAAATGCGACAAGTCGTACAAGCACAAGCCAAACTTGTACCGTCATTCGAAGTACGAGTGCGACGGTGTGCCAAGGTTCGTTTGCGAGATATGCGGCAAGGCTTACACCCAAAAGGTGACCCTCAAGCAGCACGTCGACTCTTTACATTTCACCGCGGTGTTTAAGTTCGACAACTTGTTCGACAAGTTCCCCAAGTACGGCAGTTTCCAGTGACGTCGGGCGATACCAAAAACGACATTGTTACAACTAGACACTACGGGCATTTGTATACCAATTTATATGTATGTACGGTTCATATTTTATGTTTATTTAGTTTTGAATTATATCGCTGTTAGATTTGAACGCGGACTTTTTTGTTAACGCGTCGTTTCGTGCTCCCCACATCGCAAGAAAAGGTAACTCGTCCCGTGTGTCTCGACGTTGTCCCCACTCGCTAACTCAACCCGTTTCAGGTCGCCCATACACCTGCCCGAAGTGCTTGAAGAGCTTCAAAGGGTTGGGTTCGCTGAATCGACACGTACGGTACTACTGCGGCAATAAGTCCGGAGTCGTTTCCGGTTACGTAAAGTACTCGACTGACAATTACGAGTGTCAGAAATGTCACCGCCGTTACAAACTGTACGCCACGATGAAGCGCCACCTGGTGTACGAGTGCGGTAAGGTGCCTTCGATACACTGCCCCGTGGTAAGTTGCGGGTACAGGGCCAAGATCAGGGACAGGATGAGGCAACACTGCAGGATGGTGCACAAGTTGACGTTATAGCCAAAGTTTCGGCCCGCAAAGTGTTGTTTTTATCGGTTGACGGGAGTAAAAGGACTATTATGCCGTTTGACGTTGTTTTATTTCGCGAAACTATATCCACAACTAGGAGAGGTGCGATTGTCATGCCGTTTATTAAAAAGTAAATTCCACTATTGCCTTAAAGCGCTGTTCATTTCTAGCTTACGCCTGTCCCGCGTGTCACCGGACGTACAAATACAAACGAAATCTTTACACCCATCAAAAATTTGAATGTTGCAAGGAGCCGCGATACGAATGCGCGCACTGCGGCAGAAGGTCCCACTACAAGGCAAGCCTCAAGAGACACTCGGAGAAATGCCGCAATTACTCCGTATCCCAATATTACAGTTACATCCGCTGAGTGTTATGCGTGGCGCAGGCGGGTAGGACGGGAGTTTTCATATTTGTCACGGATGCGAATTCTTCGTAATGAAATTGGTGGGTTTTTAGGAATCTTCGTGGATCAGTACCAGTGCACGGTGTGCAAGAAGGTGTACAAATACTCGCACTCACTAAGCCGACATTTGAAATACGAGTGCGGAAAGGCCCCGAGTTTCCAATGCTTCGTTGCCGGCTGCGGTTACAAGTCCAAGAGGAAGGACAACCTCAACGCGCACGTGAAATGTCTGCATTCCCGAGATCTGTACTTTTAAATTAATAAATCGTGTGCATGCCCCCCTGTATTGTTTTTTTTTCTAGCAGTGTACGCGTCATGGTTTTATTTATAGCCACCTCCTTGCCACCAATTTGTATTAACGCCGCTCTTTTTTCAGAGGGAATGCTCTTCATCCGCGAGAAGACCTATATTATAGATATAAACAAATTTCAGTTTTTCGCCTAGACACAAAGGACACCATAAATGAAGTTTCCTTTGTCCTCTATGGCCTATTTCGACGTTGACATCAAGATTACATAATTTCCCTTCAAAGTCAAGGTCGTTTAAGGACATTCTCCTTACGAGATTCCATTACAATAAGGTCATTTTAATTATAAGTTTTTTAATCAATTTAATGTTCACTTCGGTGCCATCTTTTTAACCATTGTATTGAGACGTTTTTTTTTATAAGTCGAAATAAATTGGTTTTGATCTACTTGAATGTTGACCTTTCAATAATACCCTTGCTGTTGAACTGTGTATCGTCTTGGTACTGTTTTGAAATTTGTTAATTGTAGGAAAGCGCCGGACGCGGGTAGTTAACAATCTGGAACTCGTGCAGGCGGCCGTAGATTTGGTCGACGGGGGCTTGTCCATCAGAAAAACCGCTCAAGTGCTTAATATCTCCAAAAGTACCGTCCATTCCGTGGTGCGCAAATACCGCAACGCGTGAAGTTACTACTCCCGATTTACTTTCGGGAAATGTTTAATTTTTGAGGTTATATATACGAATGTTGACGTTAAATTGAATAAAACTATATTTTGCTTGGCGGTTTCGTCTTGGCTCCCGTGTCGGTACTTCCGGCATCATCACGGCGCTCACAGATCAATTTTTTAGGTTTTTTCTTCTGCCGCAAGTGCGGCAAAAGCTACACCGTCAAGCGGTCGCTTTGGAGACACGAGAAGTACGAATGCGACCGCCTCGCCCCCTTCCCCTGCTTGTTCCCTTCGTGCAGCTACAGAACCACGCGTCGGTATCTCCTCTCAAACCACCTACGGATCAAGCATCACATCTTTTCTCACGTGTAAATTACATGGCTACCTAGCGGTACCGCTAGGTGTGAGACTGTACAGTATTTAACGGTTCCTATTTATATTTATTTGTGCGTAATAAAC